AGAGGAACTAGGAAATATGACAGTAATTTGCATTTTAGCTGAATAGCAGTATATAATCAAAGTGAGATGTATGAAAAAATAACCAGATTTTCTACAAATAAAGGAGAAGCACACAGTGCTTTGCATCTTATAAACACAAGTAAGCCTTAAAAATACATTGTGGACCACCCCTTTGGGTCATTTGGCATTTCTGTGTGGAGTTTCTCTCCGTGTTTGCTTGAATCCCCCTGGTGCTCCGGTTTTCCCCACAGTCCAAAGACATGTGATATAGGTGAATTGGGTAAGCTAAATTGGCCGTAGTGTATGTGTGTGAATGAATAAGAGCGTATGGTGTTTCCCAGTGTTGGGTTGCAGCTGGAAAGGCATCTGCTGTGTAAAACATGCTGGATAAGTTGGCGGTTCATTACACTGTGGCAACCCCAAATTAATAAAGGGACTAAGCCGAAAAGAAAATGAATGAATTATTTGCAAGATACTAGTATTCTAATTAATGTGCAATTTAAACACTTAACTAAACTAATTAGATTAATTGGGCAAGTGAGTTTAATTAGGCAATCATTGGACATGGTCTTTGGTGGTTTGTTTATAGCCAAATAAAAAAGGCATAATAATATTGATCTTAGCAGTTTTACATTTTTCGTTCGTTCATTTGTTCGTTCGTTCGTTCGTTTGTTCATTCATTCGTTCAATCATCCTCCAGCCAAACTAAAAAGAAACAAGATATTCTATGGAAAAATATAACAGGAAACAATGTGAATAATTTTCTTGCTTTGTTTAACATTATATTTAAAAACAATTAAATACAAAAAAAATTCAGAGAAGAGCTAATAAATCTGAAGAAAACAACATCTCAAACACCTTAAACACTGCAAGTAGCTAATATGTCAGCAGCTCGTGTCTGTTAGAGCATCTGACATGGCAACCCATTTCAAACTGTACATGTTAACTATATCTCTGGATTTATTTTAAAGCCCTTGATATAAAGTATGACTCCTGTTTAGGACAAACTGGATTATGCACTTTTTCTGCTGCAGCTCACTCTTGTGTCCTTCACATACCTTATGCATTCATTCATTTTCTTTCAACTTAGTCCTTGATTTATCAGGGGTTGCCACAGCAGAATGAACGGCTAACTACTCTTAAATTCATTTTACATAGCAGATGCCCTTCCAGCCACAACTCGGCACCATGCTGGGAAACACATACCATATCATTTAAACAAAAATAAATATCAGTAAATCATACACACAAAATAAACTCTCGGTGGAAAGTTTGGACTTTTTAAGTGTTTACTCAACAAAAGCAGTCTGTCTGATCAAATGTGCATTTTTTAATCATTGCAGAGGAAAGTGGATAATCTCAAAATATTCCAGTTCTTGTTTTTAACATAACATAGTCCATTTGTGATTGTCTTTACAAAAAAACACACTTTTTAAAACTTTATTTGTATAACTTTTTTGTAAAGAACAACACTCAATAGTGTACATCATGCAAATATGTCAACACAATTATCTCAGTGTTATTACCTTATACCACAGGTGTCAATCTCAGTTCCAAAAGGGACGCAGCTCTGCACAGTTTAGTTCCAACCCTAATTAAACACACCTGATCAAACTAATTGAGTCCTTCAGGCTTGTTTGAAACCTACAGGTAAGTGTGTTGGAGCAGGGTTGGAACTAAACTGTGCAGGGCTTCGACCCTCCAGGAATTGAGTTTGACACCCCTGCCTTATACCAACTAGAACATGCACCAAAACACTAGTAAATAATACAGCAATTTTGCAGCACCATCACAAGAATCTCAGCCAGACTACTGGAATAAGAAGGAAAATAGAATAACATATAAAAAGTAAGGAGAAAAAAACTATTATCGAAAGAATAATTACAGAGATAGAGTGTTAAAATATACATTGACGTGTCTGAAGAGTGAGAAGGGATCTGTGGGTGAGAAAGGTGCGCAAGTAATTTAAGGACCAGGAGGGAGACGCCCGATTTCCGGGACATAATCACTCGTTTGCAGGCATCATGAGTCCCGCAAATCCATAGAGATTTGGGATTTCTGAATATCATGTTTAACAACAATAGTAACACGCGATCCGGTGGTACATCCTTGATAAAGTGTCCAACGTGCACTTCTCTCTGCCTGGAGCTCAGAGGAGCGCATAACAGTGAGTGTCTGTGTCTGTGTGTGTCTGTGTGTCTGTGTGTGTGTGTGTGTGTGTGTGTGTGTGTGTGTGATGTGCGTTTTCACGGACGGAGGGCTGTGCAGAAATGCTAGGTAAAACGATGTGGATGTGAATCATTTTCATTCTAAAATGACATTTTAACACTAAGACGCATTGGTGTAAACGGGGCCAAGTGTGTATTTTTCGTGAGCGGGTTTGCGTCGGAGGCGGGGCGGAGGATTGGCAATGCTAGCTCAGCATCGTGTTGTCTATTGGCTATTGGCGATGTACGATGACATTGTCTATCGACCCAACCTTATAAGGCATGTTACATTGAAGCACCGATGACTGCAGTAAAACTTATGGTATTCTAAACTATTTATTTTTATCATATTCCAATCGGTCCTACACCCACCCATTCGTTCGGAGCGGGGATCGAGTCAGCGGTTTCTCCACGGGAGGCGAATGCTTTAAGGAGAAGGCTATGGGAATGAGACATTTATACTGCACTCACCAGCTGGCCTTCGATACCGCTATACCACAATAAGCAGGGTTTTTTTAAATTAAAGTTGTGTATTAAAATTAATAAGTTGTAAATAATACACATACACACTTTAGTATGGTTCACAGTTTGTGTGAGGCCGATGCAGTGTTTTTAAACAGTAGAAATGTATGTAATCAACGCATCATCTCTTGCTATACACACACACACTAACCCACAAGGGTGTTTAAACCTTTGATTTAAAATTCAGTCACGTGGCTATAAGCGAAAATGAAGCTTCGGACGTCCACTGATCACGTGATTATGGTAAAACGAGTCTAACTCCGGTGCACTGCTTCGCTGCGAGATGCATCTTTTTTTTTGATACATGCTTCAAAACCTCTCTGCACAATGTCACATCACTACTGAACAGGTTTGATTCTGAAGAGTGGCTACTGGTGAGTGTATGCAATCTTTCTATGGTTTGTTTGTTTTAATAAATGGTGTTTAAAGGAGCTTGTGTGTGGTTATTTCAGTGTGTTATGGAAAGATGAAATAGGACGTTTTTTGGAATTGGATTTGGATTGAATTGTTACAAAAACACAGTGATAACCTTAGACCAGAGGTGTTCAATTTCGGTCCTAGAGGGCTGGTGTCCCTATTGTTACATCCTGAGACTTATCTTTTGGTGCACAATGAGCTTTGTGTTTTTCCTCTCTCTCTCTGTGTGTTTCTCTCTCTCTCTCTCTCTCTCTCTCTCTCTCCCTGCAGGTAACTGTGTCCACCTGGTAGCAATCATTGGATCTTCCTAGTGATTGGCTGTTGGGAGAGAGAGTATTTAAGCTGAGCTGCACTTCAAACCAGTGTTGGTAGATTGTGGCAAGATTGTGCAGTGGCTGAGCTCTTCTCCAAATTCAGACCTGTTGTTTGTAAGAGCTTTACAGATTTGATTTAGCTTAATTAGCTCCTGTGTGGTGAAGCTGTTGGAGTCAGACTTCTACTTTCCATGATCTTCTTGTTAACATCTAATAATTCACCTAAATAGAAGTGAGTCTGGTTGATTTGTTTGTTTAATTTGAGGGTTAAGTAGGAAGGTGGGTGCCATTTTGTTTCGGAATCAGTTTTCTCCTGTTTTTCGTTTAGTAAAGGGAGTTAGTTTGTTATGTATTTTTGTTTCTTTTATTTCAGATTAGCAAGAGATTATATTAGGAGTTAGCTTGTTTTTGGTTGTTGTTTTGGCCTTGCTCCCTACTAAATTAATACCCTGTTTTTCTTTATTATATTTTGATATATGTAAATAAACTTCTCTTTTTCTTGATTTGATCTTTTGTCTAAGTTTTCTAGCCATTCTGTTTGAGGACATGAGTTCTCTCTCTTATTTTTCCAGCCATTGCACATCATCCACCACCAATCATTTATTTTCTGTTGCGGTCACATCGCTAGACCCAAAAAGACTGTATAGTTTAACAATAAACACTATAGTTTAACTCCAACTTCCTTCAACACACCTCCCTGGTAGTTTCTAGTATGCCTAGCCCTAGAAAGAGAATGATTAGCTGTTGCAGGTGTGTTTAATTGGGCTTAAAACTAAAATATGCAGGCCACCGGCCCTCATGGACTGAGTTTGAACACCCCTGTCTTAGAGAGTAGCCACAAAAATACTTAATGATATTTAACAAACACAAATGCAGAATAAACTGACTGCACTGCCTATATCTGTGTATACATACAGGTATTTGTTTGCTGGCAATTGGACCATGTTTGAAAGAGTATGCATATTATGGGTGCAATAGGTGTATGTGTACTTCTCATCCTACACTGTGAAACTCCTCAAACTGCAGGTGCAAAATGTTTGCTAAAAGTAAAGGTAAAAAGCGATTCACATGAGTTCAAGCTTGCCAATGTTTTGCCCTTGCTGATAAAACAACTGCGCTTTCAAGTGTGTGATGGCCAATCAAAGAAGTCTTACTTTTATGTTGGAGAGCATTCTTTCATTGTTGACTTACAAAGGCTTTGGATTGATGCCTTTCCTCACGCTTCACTTGTATTGACACAATGCACTAATATTGGCCTTAACATTCACTTCATCCTGAGCTCAAGTAAAAATGGAACCAATTTTATAGGGAGGAAAATGTGATAAACAAAAATGAGAGCAGACTTTTAATGGAAATGCAGAAGATGGCCTTTCGTAAGATATAGCAGGCATCATGACTTTATTGGGGCTATTTTGACAATATGTTTGGGCCAGATTTAATAATGTGTTACAAACTGTTTATGAAAAACCAGTAAACCTAATTTTGGTATCCAAAGGCTTTTACGAAATTATACAAATCTATGTTTTTCCTTTTGCTGTAGAGGGCCAGTTAAGACATACGAAAACTGGGGAGCCGTTTGTCTTTAACTACAAGGAGGACCTGCACAGATGGAACCAAAAAAGATATGAAGCGCTGGGAGAGGTAATGTTAATATTTAATAACATTTTCAGATGTGATCCCCTGGTGTTTAAATATAGCATTATGAGAGTTTTATAGTGTATGCATTATTTCAGTAGTACAGATTAGTATAATTGATTATTGATTGGACTTCTGTGTACATGTGAAATATTTACAGCACTGGTCAAACATTAAGATTTTTTAAGCATTAGTTTAATTCAAAAACACAAAAGAGTAATATTTTACAATAATATTTTAATTTAAATTGTTTTGTGAGTCAATTTCAAAATGTAGTTTGTTCCTGTGATGTTGAACATTATGCATCTCTGTAACAAATTGCATATTAAAATGTTCCAGATTCCAAAAGAATATTGTTCTTTTATGTCACGCAGTCCTTCAGAAATCATTTTAATATAGTAATTTGCTGATTATGATTAAATCTTACTGTCAGTGCATTTCTGGCAGGTTTTATATTAGGATTGTTTAAGAATTAAATGCTTCCATTTAGCAAGAATACAATTAATCAATTAAAAGTGAAAGCAAAGATATTTGTGTTTTTATTTTTCGAAATAAATGCAGTTCTATACCAAAGGTAATAAATTCACAGATAAAGACCTCATAATTATTAACCAGCACAGCATTTTACAACATTGATTATTGCAGAAGGTTTTGATTTACCAAATTTGCATATTATTTTTTTTTCATTTTGCCATCACAGTCAAGGATGGGCAAAAATACCTTTTAAATGTTTTTTTTTTTTTTTATAAAATACCAAATACATAACTTTTGTGTATCAAAATGATCTTCAAAATACAACAGCCACAAATGTATTGAAATAAAATACTGTATTTTGTATTTTGAAAATATACAAAATTCTTTTGCAAACCTTTCACCAGTAGGACTGTTGGATCATTCCTGTTACACTGATTCAGTGAAGTAAACAATGTTTGACAGCAATGGCATTCTCATAGCAAGTTTAAGTCAGCTTCTCTGCCAACTCATTCACCTCTACTCCTGCGTGAGGAGATATTTATAAACCTTTGTTTCTCTTTGATTTTAGTTTAGATTTTGTACAAATTTCATGCAGTACAGAAAGTCCTTTCTTCAAGATGATCTCTAATCACTGTAAAAAACTATGTAATGCATCTCTTAACAGTCTTATATTTTAAAAGGTTGATGTATTAGGAGGCCATTTAAATTTGTTGCTCATATTTAAAAAAATATATAATTTCATCTTTTTCTCTTCATTAACTAAAGGGTGGACCATTTATATGGATACACCTTAATCTGCAGATCAACTTCTGGCATTTGAAACAGCCAATGAGGCATAATAGGAATCTCCACTGTAAGACCTATTTATATGTTATTTGTCTTATTTTATTGGCCTCTACATCAACAATCCATCTAAAACTATTTATGCAGTTGACTCATTCTCCCAAGAGCTTTTCAGTTCTTTTGGCATTTTGGTTTACCCTCTTTAAAAACACCACAACACCATCTTTAGGTGTTTTTTATTATATTTAAACTTCCTGTACATTTTTACCAGCAGCATTGAGACGATGATTATGTGCTGAAGGCTCCATATTCCTGTTATTGGACTGATATTTTGTTATATCTAATTTAAGCAAAGATACTGAGGAACTGTACACAACACTGCTATTGAATATTACTGGTCTTAGCAATGTGATTGTAGACTTGCTCTCAAATATATACTCCTACTATTTGTCTCTGATTATCTTTGTGTATTGAATTTTTTCATTCATACTCCAAGCATAATCAATTTTCTGTTTTGATCTCAAGCTTAGGGCAAATAACTGAGAAAGCATCAATCTGAGGCCGCATTTTTATGATGTCATTATGTAGTTTTACAGTGGTACAACATAGACTGATTTCACACAGCTGCCATTTAAAACAGCAAAATCGAAGCTGCGGTGTGAAGAAACCCGAAAGTATCACCTGAGTCACACAGGAACATTGTGTACCTGCATGTATATTTTATCAGTGAAGCGAAAGTGACACAAATTTATACTTTCACTGCCTTCCAAGTAACCCGTATGTCCATTCTGAATGGAAAGTGAAAATAAAAAAAAAGATTTTCAGCTAAGTTAAGGGAAATGGCACTAGTTCGCTAACGTTTTCTTTCCCAAACACGCGTTTTAGATGCCATTCATCAAACACAAGTTAATGAACTGGTTCTTTCACTATATTATACTTGTCACGATACAAAATTTTGTTAATAAAATGTAAAAAAAAAAACGTCCATTTCCCATTAACATTTAAGTCACTGTTGATGGCATTTTTAAACAGCGCTGATTTTCCATTGTTAACGCGCTCAACAGAAATGACTGTGATTGGATGTTAAGGTCATTAGTTCACCACACTTCACTGATGTTTACCAAGCACAAACATGATGAGTAGACTGATCTTTAAGGCTTTTAAACACTAATGACGTATATATGTGTTTACAATCTTTGAAGAGTGGTGATCTGATGACCTTCACAGCCAATCACAGTTCTTTTGAGCACTGGTGAATGCTATGGCAAATCAGTGGTGTTTAAAAATGCGCTCAGCAGCGCTTAAATGTTAGCTGGAAATGGATGTTTTTAAAACTTCTGTACCGGGACAACACTAATACAGACAGCATGAGGATGTGCTACAAAGGACTGCGCTGTTTTATCGCTCACCGGGTTACATAGGCTAAAGCAGGGAAGCGTCTTTACTGTGTTTACCGGCTGCTATGAACTGAAGCCTAGGAGGACACTTAAGCGTATTATCCTTAAAAAGATTGTGATGTTGTTTGATGCGTAATACGCTTTCAATTGTTTTAATTAAATTGAACTGAATGATATTAAAGTGATGTTTACACCACATCTGCAATTTGAAATAGCAGCAACAGCTGGAGGTTTGTAGTACACAGCATGTTGTTGCAATATTTACAGTGCTGATCCTATATTTTCGTGTTTCTTCCCACCGCAGCCTCGCTTTCATGTTTTAAAATGGCAGCTGCATGAAATAAGAATATGTCAACATGTAGCATTTTTAGAGTTAGTTTTTTAAAAAATACAGTAATACAAGACACTAAAGTATTTTGATACAAAATATTAATCCAATTTTATCAACCCTATAAGATAAAAATGACAAAATACTATTTTGTATTTAAAATACATAGTTAAAATACTTCTATCATAAATACTGCCCATCTCTGATCACAGTCACTATTGACATTAAATATAGAATTATTATAAAGGGGGAAAAATAAGGAAATTAATTATTGTATAATATTACACAAACTACAAATTTTTAATCAAATAAAATAACTCTTGCTGAAATTTGTTTTATATTTTATAATTCAACTTAGTCAACGATTCACCTGATGGATTATTTCTATACTATACTGGCTCAACTGTAAAAAAATATAACCTTTTCTAAACAAACAAACAATCAAAAAAACCCATATATAATCCATAACTTGCATAAAACTGCACTGAACTCACATAGATACCTAGGCCACACATAACCATTAAGGCTTAAAATCTTTGTTCTAGCTCAGTGCTGTTGGTGTTGAAATTTGTGTAGGTCATCATTTATATTTACATGGGTCAAATAGATTTTTGACTACCTTTAAATGTGGCCTCAGTGATCAGCTCACAAGGCATTTTTGGAGTCTGTTTACACCTGCATTTGATACCTGATATGGATTTCAGGAGTGCACAGGCCCTCTCTGCTACTGTACAGACTATCTTTTATCCACAAAGTGTTTTTTGTTGTGCTTTGTCTTAGTGAGCTCTGATTTACAGCTCTCTCGCTGTTCACACCTTCACGCTTTACCAAGCATTACTTCCCTCAACCTCCTTCCACTGTCACGCTTTGGCTTTGTATGCGCGTTATAAGGTTTAAGAGTGTTGATTGTTCGTATTCTGATGTGTATTGAATGTTAGCTTATTAGAGTGTGTGTGTGTGTCTGTAAATCGGTAAAAATGCATCGATTTGATTTAGATTCACAAGCTTTTCGATTCTTGAGTGTGTGTGAGTTAAGACTGGCTGACAGATTGAATTTTTGCAGTACTGAAATTTCCAAAACTGTGTGTGTGGGATGTACCCTGACTGTACTTGACTTAGAAAGTTTAAATGCAGTTCACTTAAGGTAATGTGTGTATACATAAACTTAATTAAATCTTTGTGTGTGTGTGTGTGTTATAAGGTTGAACGGGGTGGTCCAGAGTGTATTTTTAAGGCTTGGTTGTGTTTATGGGGTGCAAAACAATGTGTGCTCATGCTTCATTTGTAAAAAAAAAATCAGGTTATTTTTTCATATATATTACTTTGATTATATACTGTACTCAGCTAACATGAAAACGACTTTCATATTTCTTAGTTTTTTCTGAAAGCCCGCCCTCAAGAGGCTTTGATTGGTTAGCTAACATAATGTGCTATGATTCGCAGATCGACTCCTTGTTAACAGGAAGCATCATGCCTCTCTACTAACATGCGCTTTGCCTCTGCTGTGTAAATACTGTCAGTCAGAGTAGCTGTTAGCCATATCAGTTTGAGCCTGAATCAGACGGAAAATGAAAACGACACAACTGAACCTCGTGCCTGCTCTCTAAAATGAAATCTGACAATTGTCTTTCACATATATTGGGGTTATAAGCATATTTAAGTAAAATTAAATATTCACATATCTATTACGACTTGATTATTTGAGATGTAGAATGCAGGGAAAACAGTCGCATAGAAAGACACTGCAGCGCTACTGAAGATTGTGGATGCTTAAAGGGGTTTGACGGATAAATATGAATTTGTAGCTTAATTGGTAGCGGTGCCAATCAGCATTTCCTGTTGTTTACATCCTTATTTACGTCCTTGTTACAACACACCTTTAACGCTAGACATTATGCATGTAATAGATCAATTTTAACAAATAAAAACACTTACAGGTTGTGGCTTACAATCCACAACTTTTCTATTATGGTTGGAGCTGCTCCTTTTTTGAGGAGTTTTCAGCCAAATCCAGCACTAAACTG